ATTAATGTATTGAATTGATCATATCAATTTATTTTTGCTTGAGTCAACTTTCATTATAAGAATTACAAATAAATTAGTTTATTTAATTATTAATTACAAACTAAAAAAAATATATATAGTATATTAATAAAGTCTTTAGACAAATTTTTATATTATAAAGTTAATTTAGGTAGTTTTTTATTTTTAATAATATATATAAATATATATATATAATAAAATAAAAAAACTATCTAGATTAATTTTATAATATAAAGATTTGTCCAAAAACTTTATTAATATACTGTACTTACAAATAAAGATGGGTCCCTAAAGAAAGAGGCAATGACAAAAGTCAAATGTTCCTCACTAGGAAACATTAAAAATTTTAAATTAATAACTATAAAAAAAATTATTCACAAATGTTCTTTATTATTTAAATTATTAATTTATAATATTTTCTGACTTTTTTTTCTATTAAAGTGAAGAGCTATAAATTTTGTTCCTCAAAAAGGAACATAAGTAATCTGTGAAATTTTATATACTAAATACTTTAGGGATCTATCATTATTTGCAATTCTTTATATTTTACTTTCAGATTTTTATTATCTGTACTTATATTGTTACATATATCAAGAACAGTATTTGACTTTTTTAAAATTTCTTTCCTCTTAACATTTGTGACAAAAGCAGTAAATATGAATTGTTTTTGAGTATCATCAATGTATATTACTTTTATTCCATTATCAATAAATTTGACTTTATAAATATATCGATTAAAATTATAAAAAGAGATAAGATATAATGATTATATTAAATTGTTATTATATAAAAAAAAAAATTAGAATTATTTATTATTAAATTTAAATATTTAGCACAAATTGAATTTAGTATGTGCAAAAGAAAAATAAGTATTTACTATAATTAAGTGACAATAAAAAGTGATAAAAAGGAGAAAGAGACAAAGAATTAAAAAAAAAAAAAAAAAAAACTATATTTATAAATATTATAATTTTGTATATTATACATAATGGCTATTTACTCATTATATAAATTATATATTGCATCATATCAGTATAAATAATTATTGAAAATTTTAAGTTATTATAAAATTTTTTTATTAATAAAAGTTTTTAATCAAATCATTATTTTTAGCTAAAATCTATATAATTATAAAATAAATATGTAATATTTTTATAATTAAAAAAATTAAATCAGAGTCAAAATAAAAAGGATTTATTAATTATAATATGAATTAAAAATTTTAATCACTTCTTGATAAAGGTTCTTGCCATCATGACTTTAAATATATACATATCCTTACCATTTTATCTAAAAATCAATTTTTTTTTTATTAATTAAATTTTTGCTAATTGAAAAAATCTGTTCTATAGATACACTAGTTACAAGTATTATTAAGTAATCAAATAGAATGTATATTAAATATAGAAATTACTGTTTATTTATTTTCCACTATTTTAAAATATTTGTTTTCTTTGTTACTTGAGATAATGAAAATGTAGCTGTAATTTATTTTGATTTTTCATATATCATCACTTGAATATTTCTTTATTGATAATTTATTTGTTGAGTCTTGTATATAATTTTATAAAGAACTATATAATTGTTATTTTTTTTTATAATTGTTAAATTTTAATTTTCTTGTTCTTTTTTTAAGAATTATTAAAAAAGAAATTTTAAGAGTTTTTTACAAGTTAGTAATATTTATATAAAAAATAATAATGAATAATTTCTTGTATAATTATGTTATAAACATTTTTTTTGCTAATGTAACTTTTAAAATTGTTAAATATAGAATTTTAAAATTAAATAAAAATAAATATAAAATAGTTAAAAAAATAATTTGGTTTTTACAATAACAAGAAAACCAGACTTGATTATTTTTTAGATTTAATAAAGTATATGTATCTTTAATATATAGCAAATTTGTTTATACTAATATAAATTTCTTGAATTATACAATTGCAACCAATTGTTTAATAAAAATAACTTCTATAGTATATAACTAAATAGAAAATAAAAGTAAAAATAATAAAATTTTTTAAATAATGCAATAAAAATAGTCTCTAATACTATTGGATAGTTATTTTTGGCCATGGTCTTTATTCTATTTCTATTTTTATCTATTTATTTATAATTATTTCTTTGATATTCTTTGATATTCTTATCAATTTTTTATATTAAAAAGTTTCTTTAAAAAATGTAATCTAAGAATTGTTTTCATATAAGTTTATTTATAATGATTGAATTAATTTTGAAAAATTAAGAAATTAAGGATATATAGTATAATAGACTACTTGATTTAAAATTTTTAAAGCTTTAAAGTTAAAATTGAAATTTTTAAGTAATCATATGTAATTTCGACTATACGTAGAATAGAATTAAATTTTAAAAACTTCAAAATGATAAAATTACTATATTCTTAATGGTAATTGATATAACCAATTAATAGTAAAATTAAGGTAGAATTATTATATATAGCAACTCTACTATGCGCATGAATCCATTATATATCATAAATTTAATATTAGATATATAATTATAATTTAATTAAATTGTTAACATCAGTATATCGAATATTATAACCTTTAGGTAATGCTTAATACAAATTTATCATCAGATATATTATATTAGATATATACCTATTGGTATAAAAAAAAATTAACATATACAGCAATTAAATGATTATAAAGAAATTGAGATTAATTAAGTTTGAATTGCTGTTGATTTATATCAGTTATTAATTACTCTGCTCGAGATAAAATCTGGAATATTCCAACACTTTTTACTTTAGACCTTAAAAAGGATTTCTACTTTCTTTATTGTTAACTGTAGTATTACAGATAAGTTTCTATTGATAAACTCTTTATTTATATGCGTATATTTATTATTTTTTTTTTTTTAAAAAAAAATTCTAATAGACAGAACTGATCAGGTAACCCCAGCAATCCCACAACGTATATGAAACCCATGTTAAATATTTTATTCTATGCTTAATCGAGTTCTGCTATAACACTTAAAGTATAAACTAATCCGACATCTTATTTATGTGTCATGTTATAACGATTAAAAAAAATTTCCGCATCCGAATATACTGTATGTAGATACCTAGACCCAGTAAACGGAAAGATTTTTTATTGGATTCAACTTTTCCTATATTACTTGAGACGCTTACCATGTAATCCATTTTAATTTCTTTTTCCTTTTTTTTTTTTGTGTGTGCGTGTATTATTCACATTAGCTTTGTTTAGTATCACACATTACCCAATGAAACCATAGAAGCAAAGGTTTTTTTTTCAAAAACCTTATGTGCATTGCTGAAATCTTTAATAAATACAAGAATTCGACAAAAAACCAAACCTATTAACAAGTCAAGACGCCCTCCTTCAACGAATTAAGTAATTACATATATACTATATTTTTTTTTTTTTTGATTTTATCTAAAAAATATTATTATTATTATTATTATTATTTCGGGGTTTTTCGGTTTTTTTTTCGGGGTTTTGTTTTCGGTTTTTTTTGTTTTCTTGATTATTTTTTTTAAACATATCGGGTAACCTGGGATTAAATAACGCGTTACCTTTAGATGAACGCGAAAGAGTTTTGAGCTGCATCATTATTTATGATGGTTACTCACGTGCTCAAAATCAAACTTCAACATTATGTAGAATATGAAACGCGGCGGCGATTTTACAATTCTCGAAAGGAATTCACCATTCTTTATTCACCGCAGTAATTCCACCAACGACGGGGTCACATTCTCTAATGGACATTTCGTCATCCGCTACCAAAATTTTTTGTTGGACGGTCCATTTTGGCGCTGACAAAGGGGACCGAGAACGATAGTAGACTTGATTGGCAACGGACATCGTCTGCGGTGTCGGCGGTGAAGTGTTCGAGTATTGTGATAATTGAATTTGGCTTAGATTGTATGGAGATCCATTACTGACGTTAGTTGCATTTATGTGGGATTGATCAAAGGTTTCTGTTGAAGAAGAAAATTGATGTGAAAATGTTGCGGGCATTTCAGAACTTATTGACGATGCTGCCATCGTCACGGATTGTAGATTATAATTAATAGTTAAGTTCGTGTTTTCCACGCGACTTGACGTGTCAATCGATATAGAAGGCTTGTAATTTACGGAACCGTTTAATGGCAGAATTGGCCGATCACTAGTACCTTCGGAAAGATTCATCGTTGGGTGAATTGTTGAAGAAGATAATGGGTTTGTGGTCAACAATGACGTCGTAGATGGGGACGGCGGTTGCACTCGACCTTTGACATTCGTCAAGTGATTGAATACATTTTCAACATTTGGTGGGACCAGGCTTCTGTGAGGCGACGTTGAACATAACAAATCACCTTTAGAGTGTCCTCTGCTATTTTTTTCATGATGAGAAGTGTTTAAAGACACCGGAGATACTGAGGGGTGACGTGACGGTGAATTACTTTGATATTGCCTGCTCTGTAATCGTTCTGCGATAACAATGTGTTTAACAAAGCCAAGAATTTCAAGAGGGAACAATGAAACAAAAAATAAGAAGAAAATTTTTATACCTTGATTTAACTTGGTCATCAAAACTTGATACAAATTGTTTAACAAGATGTCTTGCGCAGCAAGATTTCTTCTAAAGGTGACAATCTCTTCCAGGATGGTACCGCAATTATTTGATAAAACGTTCATCTGACCCGCCAAGTCGGTGTGCAGCACCGTCAAATGTTCCACCTGAGATCGTAGATCCTGATTGCCATTGTCCAGAAGTGCAGGTAGCGAATTGAAGATTGTTATACTTTCGGCGTTGCTTGTACCATCGTCAAGAGACGAGTCATCGGTCGGTTGCTCATCCGTTTTCGTCCTGTTTCGTGGGGTGGGAATTTTCCGCTGCAATCGGAGATTTTTTTTTTTTTTTAAAAAAAAAAGAAAGACCGGTTAGGAAATTTTTATTTTTCCTCTTCTTTTCAACATGACATGAGAAATACCTTTATTTCTTCTAGCAAATCCCTACGATTAAGTTGGAATTTTGGATGTTGAAACTCCCATGCCTGTCATACACGGAAAATGGAATAAAATGAGTAAAGCATGTTAAAAAAAAAAAAAAAAAAAAATCGACAAGATCTACGCGGCGCAGATATGGGAAAATTTTTCCATATTGACAGCATAATGAACATATACGGATATGGAATTTGTTTTTTGTTCTATCAATTGTTTCCATTAATGTATATAATAGTTTAGAAGGTGACAGGGAATCTCCGGGTAATCTCACGAGATCGAATTCTCCTTGATTGGTTCTTTTTCTCGCAGATTCACGCATTGTCAGCAGTCGGTGAATGGATGACTACGTCGGAATGAGACACCAACAAAATTTAACGACTTGTACGAAATGTTGGTGCCACCAAGATGGGTAGTTGTTGGATGTCGATTATGGTAATGCGGTATGTGATTCGATAATTTTATCCGTATAATCGTTTTAATACTAATTCATCTTTTTTTTTTTTTTTTTTTTTTTACCTGTTCGCCATATTGTCTGATCTCTTCGTCGTTACTTTTTATCTTGTGAAAATCGTACTTGTTCAGTTGCCTTACAAAGCTTGCCATGTTGTTGTGCTTAAAATGTTGAGGTAGTAGTGTTCGGGCGAATTCCGTGGGATCGTGAACGACAAAGGTATCTCCAGTTAGCCCCCAAGAAACAATATTTGAATAAGATTTATCCTCGAGCATCCTATAGAAAAGGGGAACGTATGGAAAATGAGGAAAGAAACGAGACCGATAAATTATTTTACAATGAACATCATTCACTTTTTTTAAGTAAGTGAGGTAAAGATGAAACAAGAAGAGAGATAATAATTGATAATCGTAATAACAGATATAAAATGAATAAATGGTAGTGATGGTATCAAGAATATCGATGATAGCTATAATAATAAAAAAGATGAACATACACACGTATACTCAATATGTATGCGTGTATTAGTTTCAGGTCCATATTTGCATTGTTATTAATATTATTATTATTTTGGGTCAAGTATTATCGTGGAAACGATGATTTTTTTCGCTATTCCGTCGGCCATGAAGGAACCGATGACGCGCACTTCGGATTACGGGTTTGAGGGTAATCACTATTGTTTTGTATGACGTGTGTTATGACGTTGATTGTAGATTCTGTTGGTGTTCCTAGGGAATGGTGAACACACACACGTTTGTGACTTTCACTTTTTTGATTTCTCGGGGGCGAATAATCACGAGCATGAGTACCGAGTTGCGTCTGGTTAGTCTCCTTCTTGAGAGTGAGGTCTCAGGAGTTCGGATTTACCGAAGTTTAGGGAAACCGAGTGAAGGTAACAATTTAAACTTTGAACGACCATCGTCAAAATCCCCGCGGACCACTTCAGACATTCAAGGAACCAAGGGATGGACGCGTCCGAGTCAAATAAAATACTAACCTATAAAGTCTCTTTATGAAATCAGCGATATTTGCTGCGGCACAAGTCATTCTTTTTTTTTTTTTTTTTTGTTGTTGTTGTTATTCGTGAGGTCTTCAATATGTGGAGGGGGGATAAAAAACACAAGAGGGGGTCGGAAATATATTAACTGAAGGCACCGCAGATGGTCATTTCAGATATCCTGGAGCAGAGGTCGGCAAATAAGTAGTAATAATAATATAACAATAATAATAGTAATGCTAGTACTAATAACAAAAAAAAAAAAAAAAAAAAAGAAGAAGAAAAAAAAAAAAAAACTCGTATCGATTAACCACTAGTGTAAAGAAAGAGATATTTATATATGGGTGATTTTTTGGTGATTGATATATAATCGATTGGGGTTAACCATAAAAAAAAAAAAGTTGTAGATCCACCACCATTAAATATAGTAGAATAGAAACAAGCAAACCTTATTGTTGATTTGTCCGACGCCTGATTGAAACCATGCAAAAAATACTTATAATCATATAAAAGGATCCGCGCCCAGGCTATTTATTGTATATATATATACAGTATATACGTATATTTTTTTTAAGAGGTTAAGAAAGAATTGATCCAAGGATTGCGTCCTTATATATAAGGATTGCAATGCGCTTACTTTGTGCAAGGAAGTTTTATTACGTGTGGGTGTTGTCGTGTACGTACGTGCGTGCGTGCACAGTTGTGTTGTATGTATGCAAGAAGAGAGTGTATCTTCAATGTGACAAAAAAATTTTTTTTTGATTCAAGAAAAATCCCGATGTTTATATAATAATCACATCACCATATGCGCATCGATCTACACACGTTGGTTAAACTTGCCGGGCATTATGTGACGAATTTCTTAACAAAACTTTTTTAATAATTAGGGACCGTGAACCTTCTTCGTCTTTTAATCCCAAATTCTATTTTCACCTGAACGCGGAAATTCGAATATGGTCATAATGAGGAAGCACGCATAAGACATTTACTAGTCCTATGGATGCGCATTTATCACTAACCACAATGGAGAAGGAGAAGAATATGTATGCACTCGTAAAAAAACAATCACGCATGGTAATAAAAGCGAGCTACATAAAATATCATATCGGTGTGAAGACGCAACTATAATTGTTAATAAAAAATCTTTTGTACACGCAAATAATGTATCTGTGATTTTCATAAAAAAAAAAAAAGAAAAAAAAAAAAATCCCGTTGTCCTTCAGGAAAATCCTTTGTTCAAACCGGCTACCCTCAGGTTTCACAATCTAATTCAAATGCAAATAAACTGAGCAAAAAGAAGCATACACAGTATACAGTGAATGCCGAAGCTATGTGTGGAATAGGTTAGTGATAAGGTGTCGATCATTTCATTTGTTGCATGCGTCTAATCAGTATTTGTAGGACGAGTGCTTGAGAGTAAATTTATGAAACTGTTTTAGGAGAGTCCATAAACATTCCACAAACATTCCACCAAAAGAAGTGTTCACTTGTTTTATTAAACTAATTCTGGTAAGCATTGTTTACTGCGGCATGGTAAATGACTAGAGACATCCTTCTTGGGCTTCCGGTTCCCCGATGATATATCTATTGTTTGATTGTATTGTTGTCATACGATTTGCCTTTAACGTCTTTCTCCCACCTAATCCCCAATGTATTGGATGTTAGCGTAATCGTGAAAAAAAAAGGGGGGGGGGGAGATGCTAAATTTTGGTAAGGGTTTCCATGTCGATGAACTGTGGATTAAAATAAACAATGGGATGTGTCGCCGAGTCAAGGCGGTGACTATACTCAATGTGGATCTACAATTGTTGTAATTATACACTGGAACATAATGCCGCTACAACATATCACGTATACAAAATTAGGTAGGAAGCACAGCCCCTTTGTTTTGGTAGAGTTGGATCGTGTGCTTATATCATGTCACACACTTGAGCTCATTTATCGAACATAGATGCCAGTCTTTATCTATCAGGGCATAAATGTTAACACTCAAAAATTGCCATAATAAATTAATAACAATAACAAATAAAGTAAAAAAATGTGGATACCGCTCACCAAATAAATGCTAAGATTACACGCCGAACTAGCACACGTAAAGTTTTTCTCTCCTTTTTACCCAAGGAATACCAACCTCTGTCATCCCCTGCATATAAACAACAAATATTTAATTCGGTTAAGTCCAATTAACAAGGAAAATGCCGGTGGATGCTGCACGTAAACTCATAAGAGCTCACGCGCATATACGACATGTAGTCATCATTTCACGTACGTAGGAAGATCCCTAAGAGTAAGAGTAAAAAGACAAAGAGTTGCAGGAGTTTGTATAATTAAAATCACTCGCACGACAGTGCACCATCCCTACTCATACATGCTAACCATTTCACAACGTTTTACCTATCCTACGCACATTCTCCTCTCTAACGACTCAACAATACTAATAACCTCCTACCTAACTATTATCTATTATTCTTACTATTGCACAAGGTTTTAGAAGTCGAGTTCGTGTGACGACGCCATTACCAAAATTGGTCAATACCTAAATTGCTAAATAAATTGACACGAGGAAAAATTTCCCGATTATGGTAAGAGCATGCTAGATGCATTGTGGATCATCGTAAACTGTAATGTACTATTTTCTAGTAATTTAATCCGTTCCTGGAATCCGGCAGATTTAACGGGTCTGTTTTCGGAAAACTAGTGGGCTCTTCCTCTCAAACTTATTTCGGACATCACTTCAATAACGTAATGGTCATGTATGTTTATTGTTTGAATAACACTTGTGCGCTCTCACGTACCTCTTGCGTCCGGTAACCCTTCTTCGATAAATAAAGTGACGTCAACGTTACGCTTTTCGTTTTTTATTGACTCATTTTAGCTTTATACTTTATTATATTGACTACTATTACAGTAAATATGAGGAACGCGTCTTACCGATCTGATTGGTTAATAGAGCTCACCTTTTCATGTGGGACGCGTGAATCTTCTCTTTTTGATGCGTCATTACCATATATTATTAACCTGTTGTTTGTTGTTATTGTTTGTCATATGCAGTATATATATATATATATATCGTGGCGTCAAGCGATTAACACGAATGAAAAAAACGTCTTTCATCACATTTCACACTATCATGTGAAGCTTAGCCCAAGTTCCGAGGGGTTCGTGTGTTATGATGTAGCTTGCTGATTAGCAGGTTCGGGTTTTTTCCCGATGAAGCCCCACGGAGCCCCAATTCATTTACGCTGTGCCAATAAATTTTGGAGTGAGCAACACTCAGAAAGCGTTGTTACCAAATTTGAACCATATGGCTGTTTTTTTGACGAAAAACTCTTTTCCATATAATCGATTGTGTTCCATGCTAGGTCAAATTAATTATCCCTTATTTTACGCTCGCTTCTCACGGCACTCGAAACTTCTCTAAACTTTTTTTTTCCAAACGTTTTCGGGCTTACCTCTTATGTATTATCTAAAACTTTTTTTTTCCAAACGTTTTCGGGCTTACCTCTTATGTATTATCTAAAACTCTTTATCCCCCCGATAACTTTCTATTATTATTTTTTTGGTCCGACTATTCTGCTTCTTTTTTTGTTCCTAAAATAACGCCTAAATTGAAATCACTTTCGAAACTAATCAATTTATTTCCGCCCACCTTTGCTAAAAAGTTCGTGCATCATGTGAACAACGCGAGAAGATAATCAGACTGCAGATTTCATGCGTGACGAATAGGATGAAACCCACGCGACAATTAATCATGATAATCTCGAACCAAATTCGTTGTGTATCACGCTGTACCCGAATTATTAGTTTAGTTATACGTGTTGTGTTATGCTGTGAATTTTGGCGGCACCTTAAAACAACCTATTATTAATACAATGAAAAAAAAAACACAGTCGATAAATTTATTATAAAGGTAATATATCATTGATATTTAACATATTGATTACCACAAACCATTAGAGTTCATATTTTTTAAAAAAAAAATAGGGATTTGAATTTTGACATAAAAATAACGATTTCCGATTGGAATAACGGCCAAAGTTTAGTGTATAAATAAATTTAAAATTAACACGATTAGTGTAACTAAATATATTGTCAACATTGAATACTATTACGTAATCATAATATTCGTTCCAATAACAAAGATGTCACTTTTATTTACGCCATTTTTATTATACCTCCCATTGATATAGTCAAATCGTGCGTCTTCGGAATCTATAAATATCATCATTATTCACAATAATATACACATACATAAAGTATATATACTGTATAAATTATTGACAATTATTGATAATATGCAATATATCTATATTTGAGGTGTGTGATTGTTATCCTACCTATATGATTAAGAGATTAGGTTTGTTTGTTTTTCCTCCAACACATTACAATCAAAAAAAAGTGAAAATTTATTTCGCAGCTACGTTTTTTTTTTTTTTTTTTTTTTTTTTTTTTTTTTTTTTTTTTAAAAAAATTTTTTTTTTTTTTTTTTTTTTTTTTTT